CCTTAGGAAATAGGAGGACAGGAGACAAGACAAAACCTATTCCCATCCTCTCTGCAGCTTCCTGCTCCAGGGTCAGTAGAGATATACAACAATGGCTGGGTCTGAGCCACGTGCGTTGCTTGTAATTGTGGCTACTTCTCCTTCTCTTGTGCGATAATGTGGTTCCAGTTACAAGCTAATTATTCCTGCCTCTGTGAACTGTCTCCTTGGTGAAGCAGATGTGCCTTGCTGCAGTGAGCTGGGGAAGGAGGCCAGGAGCTGAGGAATGGATGACAAGCAGCAGGATCCCTTCTGTGGCAGAGGGAGAGACAGCTGCAAACTCTCCTGGGGAGCAGGCTCGAATACGATGCCTTCTCTATAAGCAGCATGGACCAGCCCCCGCATTCCGAAACGTAGGGCCACAGGGTATGGACCTGATGAGATTTCCAGACAGTGCTGGGATTCTCCATCCACCGCATTACTGGGGTTTGTATGGTCCAGAAATCATAATCTGCTGTAACAGGTGGGTGGTCATCTGGCAAGCGTGAATTTGTGCTCACTTTCTGGAAATAGGCACTGGTGACTGCTTGAGGGGAAAAAAAAAAAAAATCAAGCCTGTGGTAATGGCTGAGGATTTCTGACCTTTGCTCTAACATTTCAAATTTGTTTTTATTGCTTCTAATTGGCCTTGCTTTGGAGCATGCACATTATCTAACTGCCAGGGCACTGGCTGTCATTATCTGCTGGGCCATTTGATTTGTGTTTTTTATGTTTGAAACTTGTCAGACATTCCCAGAAAATACTGCGCTCCCCTTGCAGTGTCAAATATGGGCCTGGTTAATTGTGCATCCCTGAGACAGAAGCATTTGAAGTAATCAGGCATTGATTGTTTAGCTGTGATGGACACAATGGAAACGCGTCTCCTCTGTATGGAGAGGAAAGTGTAAAAATTAGATCAGCAGCTACATGACAGCAGCCAGATTTCTTGATTTCAGGGTTCAGAGGTTAGCCATTTTCCAGCCTTGATGATTCATTTTTGATCTCACTCACGTGGCTTGGATAACTTTGTTTTCTCCTCCCTTTGCAATTTAAATACAAATTTTCTTCTATTTTGGCCCTCTTTTGTACGCCAGCTGCAAAGTCACTAATTCAAATCTGTTGCTCCCCACCTCAACTTGCTTCACCAGATGGAAACAAAAGTCAAGAAATATGTGTGTGAAAAAGCTCAAAATGCCACAGTGGCACAAGTCTGCCTATGGCGGTGGCTTTCTAAAGTTCATCTAAAACATTAGCCTGGTTTGTAAGTCTGCTGATCCGTTTTAAGACCTTTAAGGTTTCCTAACAAATAGAAATCCAGATACAGTTGGTTTTGATGTGAACATGTACACTACGTTTGGAGTAGATGTATATAGGGCTTGTCTTCCTGCAGACGGGCCGAGAGCGCTACAGGAAGCAATAGGAATAGCCCCATTTTGCAGAACTTAAAAAAAGCATCACTGGAAACACCAAGATGTTAGACCTCAATGTGAATTAGGCATCTGCTGTATTTAGATAGAAGCAATTTTGCTGTTGAAATCAGAGGTTGGTATTTTTTTCCCTTGGGATTCTGTAACTCAAAATTGTGTTGAGATCAAGCATGTAGTGGGGTTTTTTTTAGCTGTAAAGGTGAATGTATTCAGATTATTCAAGTGGTGATTTTTTGGATGTACAATTAGTTGACTGAGAGATGTGGTATACATTTGGTATTGTAATTGCTATGCCTCTGAGATTTCAATTTGCAGAACAGTTTGCATGGCTGCAAGATTAACTGTTGTATGCATGATGAGCACGCAGCCAAGTTGTGATTTGATCATGACTGTCTGTCAATTGGCTGTATGTCCATAAAAATCACTTTGTCACCAGTACCTGATGTGAACAGAGTGGTTGATACTCACAACGCTTCAGTTCAGTGGATGCCTGGATGGCTGCTAAAAACGGCCAGTGTCTAAAAATTCCATCCGTAAGTGCCGTTGGTTAGACAGGTTTTCCTGTTTCTGTTTCCCAAATCATGAAAAAGGAAGGAGGTTTAAGACCCATTTCCATCCTCTTTGCATGTTTCATATTATAGTTTCCCTCACTTGCAGAGAGGAGAATGGGAATGACGTTCCTTCTCTAATGGACTGGACGAGTGGGTGCAGAGAAATCAGCGTCTGTACGGAAGAGCCAGCCCCAGCGCGGCCAGGAGCTGAGCCCTGCCTGCCCAGCGCTGGCTCTGCCCCGGGAGCGGGCAGGCGGGCTGTCAGCAGCGACACGGGCAGTGCTGATGCAGCCCCAGGGGATGGATTGACTGGCTGGCTTTCCTATGGTTTTTTGCCTGATTCTCCGTTTGGTCCACAGCTGCTGCTGTGTTTGGGTCTCCACCCGTTGTCTGGGAACATGTCAATGTAATTATACGCAGAACCAGAGGAACCGCTCATTCTCACTTCAGCGTGCCTTTCAGGTCTCCCTCCCAGGGTCCTAATTTATTTATTTTTGTCTCAGTGTTTATCTCTTCAAAATACCACTGTGCCTTAGGTTGGTGAATGAACTGTGGAGATGCAGTAGATGCTGAATTGATGGCAGCTGGGACAGCAGTGAGGAGGGGGGGCTGGTGGAGGTAAAGCCTTCCAAGCCCTGTGCCCCATCAGCCCCTACATTATTTCAGTTCTTTTAAAATGTATTTTAACCTCCTTCTCCTAATAAAAGCAAAAGCACTGACAAACACACACCTGCGTGGTGGGGAAGGCAGGTTTCTCTGCAGGTTTAGAGGGGCCCAGTTCCTCAGGGGTGAGTCAGGGTGGAAGGATCAAGAAACCTGGGTTTCCATCTCAGCTCTTTTCCTTTCAGTTCTCCCCAATTCTGTTGCATGGCATTTGGTAGGTCACTTCACTTTTGGTAACATGGCTATGTGAACAGATAGGTCCTCCCCTTCCTAGCGTTTGTGTCTCAGCATGAAATGGTACGGCACCAGCACCGGTTTCGCTTGGGTCTCCAGCTGCCATAGCGAATACAGATAACTGGTATTAGGGGGAGCAGACCAAGTGCTTAAAGAGTAGATCAGGCATAAGTAGATGACCCTCTCCATTTGTGTCCTGCCATAGCAGTGGGGGGTGAATGAACCAAATTGGCAGGGCATAGCGGGTGCTGGGGGGGGCAGGAGCTGTCTGAGCGGGCACCCCGAACGCTCATTGGAGCCCCTCGGCTGGTGATAGCACGGTTTGATTTCCTTCCTCGGGATGGGAATGGAGAGTCAGGTTTTGCCACTTTTACAAAGGAGAAGCCATCAAAAGGTGTATCTGCTTTTACAGCCGCAGCACAGCCAGCTTGGTGAGGGGAGGTAATTCACGCTCTGCCAAGATAAGTAGGAGATGCAGCACCACGGGATTGGAGCTTGGTACACGCAGGGGATGATGACGGCTGTTTGAGCCGGTGCTGCTTCTGCTTGGGGTGAGCGCGGAGGGACCCCACGCTCTGCCAGCAGTCTGCAGGCAGGGTTGTAGGGCTGCCTCGGCTGCCAGCAGGCAGCCAAGAGCTGGTTCCTCTGGCTCCTGGTCCCAGCGTTTGGCTCAGAGGCACCTCTGCAGTTCCAGTGTGACCCACCAGTGCTGGTAGGGGGTTGTGAGGGGAAGCTCCGCGCTATGGGATGGCCCAGTGCTGCCTGAGTCTCCGTGAGCAAGGGATGGTGCTGCAGCACCCACACCCCTCGTCAATCAGCCTCTCACAAAAGCGAGGTCTCTGGGTACAAGGGTGTGAGTTGTGCCGCTTTTTGCCCAGACCTGGCTTTGCCCAGCAGCTAGACAGACCAGGGCTGAGGCTGTCCAGTTGCTTATGCCCGTCTTGCTGTGAAACACAAGTGTGTCAGGACCTGGAGGGAGAAGAGGCAGTGAGAGCACTGGGCTGTGAGATGGAGGATTTTAATTAAAGCCTCTAAGCAAAGAGGTTATATAAGTAAATAGAGTAGAAATGTTACAGAATTAACTGATAATAAAGGACAGAGATTTACTTTTCCTTAAAGTAGCCAACATTCATCACGCACACCGTAAACACACACCCAGCAGCACTTTGTCTGGGAAACGAGTAGTGAGACTTATCAGGAACCAAAGCATTACAAAGTAGGTCTGTTCCCCCAGACAAGCTGCGGGAAGCCGAGGAGCTGTTTCTGTGGTGCTGCATTGTGAGGAGCTCGGTTTTTAGCCCATGAACTCCTGGGGCATCACTGCAAAAGTACTTAGTATTTAGCATAACTCTGCTCCTTTGGAGGTCAGTAGTTAAACTCCCACCGCTCTGCTAGGACTGTAGCCCGAAAGGTGCGCTGGAAACGCCACATTCCAAACTATGGTGACAACTAAAGTTTTGCATGACTGTTAGATAATTGGCGTTAACGGGTACGGTGAAATAGCAGTATCACGTCGGGCTCTTTGACGGCACTGGTCTGGATGCTGGAAGCACTGGCATCATGTGTCAGGCGATGGGTGTTCCCCGGCCACACAGCGGGAGTCTGCCACTAAAGAGTTTGGCCCCAGCTGCGAACACCCCTGGCAGTGGGGGCAATCCAGTGGTGAGCAGATGTGTGAACCCAGCTGTCCTGGGAACAGTATATGCCCCAGAAGGAAATATTCACAGCGATACGAGGGCTGTTAATGAGAAGAAATGAAGCAAAACATTTCAGGCATGTGGGAGCCGCAGTGGGGAGAAAACAGTGGTAAGTGCAGTACCCAAAGGGAAGCAGTGGGGCCCTTCTCTTGGAGAGCTCAGAGCTAATGCAAAGCCCTTGAAGTCTCCTGGAAGGACTAACCCTGCTCTGGCCAGAGGAGGATGGGACCAGCTGGTCTTTAACCACCTCTAATTTGTCTCGAGCTGCCAAAGCCTTCCTTACAGATGCACTTCACGGTGAGGCTTTACACATGGCTTCTCCTCGCAGCACACCCCACACATGGCTTACCTGCTGCTGAAACACCCCAGCGTTTTACAATACCTGTCCTCTCTTTCTCTTCCTTTGGCAGGAAGGAGAAACTGCCGCTTTTTAAATGCACTACCCAGCGGGGCCAAGGGAACAGCCATGCTGGCGGCAAGCCAGAGAAGAGGAGCCAGGCGCATCTGAAGGACCAGTCTCTCTCCACGCGATGAGAGGAGAAGAAAGGAGGGCAGGTCTGCGGGGCAAGGCGGAGGAGCACGTCGGGGTCTGGAACTGATGATGTTTCTCTTTTTTTTCCTAGACAAGTATTTCTAAGATAACAAATAGTCCAAAGGGGGAAAGAGGGAGAGGGAAATTAGCTAGAAATTTTACTATTGATTCTTTTTTATTTATAGATGGTAAATCAATTTCAGAGCTTTTTTTTTTTTTTTTCCTTCCCCCTTCATCTCTGGGAAAAAAAGAGTGACCCGATAGATTTACAGAAATCATTTGTGGTGGCTGAAAAGCTATTTGTTAAAATGAGAAAGCCTCCCCTTCCTCCACCAGCCTTGCTCTCTCTCTTTAAAGGGGTAATCCATATGATGAGCTAACGAGGGAGTCCTGGCTCCCCTGCTGCACCATGTGATGTCTCCCCTTTTAGTGTCAGGCTCAGAAGCTCTTATGCCAATTGCATGTGCTAGCCCTGTTAGCTTGCATTAAGAGAGCCTGATAAATAGCTTCTGGGAGTCAGGCAGGCGCTCCTCAGTGTGCCGTTTATCATCTGCTGCATGGTTAGGTTTTTTGCTCTTCTATCCTATCATTTGAGGAAAGGGGTCATATAAGAAATGCTGCTGTCAGGCTGCAGGCATGAAACTCACTGCAAGACCTGTCTTAACAGGTAGGAGCCATGGTCCTCCAGCAAAAACTGGCTGGGGTCTAGAAAGATTGGACTTAGCAACAGATGTACGACTGAGGCAGTGTGAGCTAGGGGTAGTGTTGAAAGGGATGAACAATGTTGTGCCACTACTGTAAGAAATCCCAAGCAAAACCTCACCACCTTCCCATTACATGGACAGCATGTGAAATCTCAGCTCAAAGCCACCGTCACTAGGCAGTTTGTCTCCTGTGTTGTGTGACTTATTGAAATATCTGCCAGTGATGTGGATTTGAAGCGCGAGGCCTGTGGTTCTCAAACTGGAGAGTAAAAGAGGGTGACCCTGAGGGGAGTCCGAGTGTCTCCCAGGGGATGGGAAGGGAGAGTGCACTTAGAAGTGCCTCTTTCCTGTTGCGGAGGATCCACAGGGGACATCACACACAGCCCAATGTGATCAAGTGAAGTTCATTTACTACAACGTTTGACACAGTTATATATCTTATGTGCTTGTGCACGCGCCTTATACAATACTCTAATTGGTACAATACCCCGGTTCACGCGACACTATCTTATCCTCTATTGGCTGTGCAAGCTTCTTCACGAGGTGTCCAGCAGTTACTTATCTCATTCTTCAGCATCCAGGTGTTGTTTGTCAGGCTCTTCTTATCTTCCTTTTTCCCAGCGTACAAGGACACAGCGTCCTTGTCTGCTCCAGCACTTTGTAAACTTATGCTTCCTTCCCACCTAACGGCTGGATTGCTCACATGCCTTCGCCCAGCCAAGAAATCCTCAACACTTTCCAACCCATCGGAAGCCTGGGGAAGCAGCCTTTCTTCACTGTCTTCTGCTAGGAGTTGGGCTGCAATAGTGGCTTGGAGGAGAGAAGGTGCCAAGTCCCAGTAAATAGAGAGGGAAAGGATGAACCGGACTGAGGGTGAAGAAAGACATGTGAAACAAGAATGAATGAGCTCCTCTTGGTGTGGGATGGCCTTGTACAAGTAGTAGCCCCAGATGCTCTGTTCTCTAGTAAAAGACCTGGGTTGGTTGCTCCTCTCCTCTTTCCCAGGACTTGAGAACCATGATCTAGGAACAGAGTCAGACTCAGCTGGGTCCTTGCGCTGGCCTGTGTGTGAGAAGAATGCATCCTGGGGGTAAATGAAAAGGTATGAGAAAAACTGAGAATTATAGGCTAAAATAGACCTTCCAACTAACTTAAATTTACTGTCCCTTGTGAAAGTACTCCCTGATTCTTCAGCAATGGAGACCTGGCAAGGCCTGAGTGTGACCAATGCTGAACCAAGGTGTGATCCCAGGAAGAACTGGAAGCAGGTTGGGTTGCATTCATGCAGCCAGGAAGCTAGTAGGCCTGCATATGTGCTCATCTGCTTTTGAATACAGGTCCCATATCTATATCTCAATGGCTAGAAAGGAGTTCTGTGTAAGGTCCTTGAGCTCCTTTCCATACAAGTAAACACAAAGTGTGCAGGGTCAAGGCTGAGGTCTGTGTTCTGTGTCTCAGGACCTCACATGCACTTCTGGAGCCTCACCACAACAGACCTCCTGGGAGCCACTGGCACATGATTTCCATCCAGTTAGCATTACTGCAGCCAGAAAAAGTGAGTAGGTACAAGTCAGGACAAAAATTTGGCTTTGCATGCCTCTGAAAAAGGACAAGCTACTCAGGATGTGACAAAACTTGAGCTGATTGTGTCTGTGCACTAGCCACCCGTTAGCTGGGCTTTCATTAGTTAGTTTCTCTCTGATAAGGGGAACTTGGTGAAAACAAGAAAGAGATATCTCACTGGAGGGACAATTATTTAAAACAGCAAGCAAACCTGATATTTCAAGGTGAGGGAGTTAAACGGTGCACGATTTGGGGGAGAATAAAATGCCTTCCTATGATGAATTCCAAGGCATCCAAAAGGCACAGTGCTGGCTCTCTGTCTCCAGAAGCAGAGTAATGAATAGCAGTGACAGTGTGATAATTAAAATGACCTCTTGGAGATATGGATTAGAAGGTACGCAGAGGGGGGATAAGTTCTCCTTTGAATTAATCTAGTGCTAATTTATGACTATCGTTGGATTTTATAGGGTTTTAGTGGAAGACTTTCAAAGTTGGTTTACTGGGGTGATATTGTTCCTTCTGCATATTCATCGGAAAAACACTTGGCAGAATTCCTCATTATTTCTTTTTGAATTATTCTATATATACATATATATATATAATGAGAGAATTTCAGGTATTTGCTTAGCTGCTAAAGAGTCTACTCTAGAAATAGGAATAAAGTGATAAAAGCAGCTGTGGAATGAGTGTGTTGTTTCATTTTCATTCCTTCCTCCTCACAGGCCCCCAGACTCACTTCAGTACCGAGACGTGGACAAGCGGGTTCTGGGAAGCCCTTGTGCTGCCCTGCTATTGGTTATTAGAGGGTCCTGCTATCGGACTTGTAAAAGTCAGTCTTTTAAGTTTAGATTTAATAATGGGATCTTCCTGGAAATCACTGTCTCTGCTTCTTGTCTCCTGCCACCCATATCTGCCCCACAGCCTGCAATTTCCAGGTCTTAGTATAGACTCAAAGTAGACTGCTCATCTCTGCCAGAGATGCTCCCTTTCTGCTGAGATATCCCAAGCTTTTAGTTGGATAGAAAGGACAGATTGGAGACAGTTACCCATATGGGAAATGATGACATCCCATTTGTCAACTCCCATGCTGGTAACCTTCTTCCCATCCTCTCCACCTGCCTAGCAATACCATAGCATCCAAACATAAGGTTATCTGCCAAGAGCATCTGCCTTGCTCCTAGGTTGGGCAGCACGCCTGTTCTGGAGCCCACCCTCCCCATTCTTGTTCCAGCTCGTCATGTTCAGACACTTTGCTTTTGCCTCCCATTTCACTCCTGTCTCAGTTTGTCCCTGGCACCTTCTGATCCAGCCATAGTTGCCCCTACCCATTTTCTCCACCCTGAGATCCCAATCACGTCTCGTCTGAACACTACAGGCAGAGTTGACTCTATAGTGCTTTCTTCAGAGACTCACCTCTGCTAGCGGGGTTCACCAGTAAACCATGTTTCTTGAAAACTCTCCCTGACCAGCTGGGGATGGAAGCCTGAGCCTTTCACTGTCAGGTCTTTGCTAGCCTGCATGATGAGGGCTTACAATTTGGCATGGCAGAGTGTGCATCAAGTGCACACATCATTTTACAAATTCTTGGGGAGACTATCATGGTAGCTGAAAATATGAGACCTTTTGCTCCCAGTCTCTAGCTCACTTTCCTCTCGCATGAGTGCTGAAGTTCTTCTCCTCCACCTGAGCAGGCAGGTCCTGCTTCAGAGCCTACTTCTGGCCTGCCATGAGCCTCTTCTTCCTGGTGAAGATAAGCTATGTCTCAGACGTCAGTAATGTACGTTGTACACACAGCAGTAATTCTGTACTAGTCTCCTGTGTCAGGTCCAAGGTAAGGTAATGCCAGGGATTTTCAAAGGTTCGGAAGCCAATATGGGTCCAAAACTGGGCACATGTTTATCTGAGCACAAATGGAGGGTTCTTCTTGTGGGGAGACCTGAGCCCCGTTGCATTGCCCTGCCTCTTTCCACTCTCTGCTTGGGCACCTGGAGGGCCCTGCCTTGGAGCAGTAGCAACTTATTTACTTCCCTTTGTACAGGACTGGGTGATGAATATTAAAATGCCGAAATTAACTTGTTTTCTGTGCATTCTGCTCTCCTGACAAGAAAATCCCGCTACAAACCCCTGCACAGGCAGTCTAACTGTGCTGAATTAGACCCTCACTGTGAGGGGATTATATATTCTGATTGGGGCTGCGTTTGCAATTATTTTCTCTGCCACACCAAAGACCTTTACTGCAGAGCTGCAAACCAGTTATAGGAACATGAAATGCTTTGACTTCTTCACTAGGGAAACATTAATCCAATCACAGGTTATGTCCATTACAGACTATGGCAATATTGTATACAGGAATTCCCAGGAGAAGGTTCTACAAAAATTGGAATCTCTCTATAACCATGTTATGAGATTTACTGGTGTGGATAAAATGGGCAGAGTTAAAATTACCAGCCTGGCTATCTCTAAAAGACAGGTGAAGTCTGCTGGCTATCATTGCTTCATAATATTACAAATGGAAAAGCCCTGAAGTAATTGAATAACACATCTGCTGAAAAAACCTTGTGAACTGCTATAACCTAAAGATAGACTGCAAGGAAACAATGTATGTACAGCACTCAGTTAAAAGGAAAAAGATGCTTTCCTTACCTGGTGCAGGAAGATATCGCAAATGCAGATACAGATTCTCTCTTTGCCTCCTAGATTATGTGTGTGTGTGTGTGTTTGTGTCTATCTATCTA